GGCTCCATAAGAGCTTGTCCACTTATTCGTGGTCCTAGGGGCATCAAACCGACCGGCGGCGGCGCGATAGGATGGTTGAGGTTGGGAGTGCCGGCGAGAAGCATGGCAGGAGCCAGCAAGTGAGATCGGCGGTTGCGACGTTCTAAAGAGAGATATCGGCAGACAATTGGTCGGCAGATACGACCATGAGTGCGAGATGTGATACAATTGGCGGGAACGGTGCGCGGGTTGGGAACTTCTGGTTTATCGGGATGCCAGTGGGGCTGTGCAGGAGCGAGCAAATTGATAAGTGAAAATATCCCTCCACGAACAAAGTCTTCAGCCAATGTTCTTGAATTTGACAACATATAGGACGATGATTGAATTCACCCAGTTTGAGGCATCGGAAATGTTATGTATACGCACTGCGATGTAAATCGTGTTTTTTTGACGTTTTCTAAAGAACTTTCAGCATAGAAGCAAATTGGTCCGTGGAATTGGCAAAACAATTGGCAACATCGTGGCACGAATCACGACAAATTGATCAACCGCGAATCATACCAAAGGATTCCATGCTCATCGTCATCGAAATGGGCCAATTTTTTGGCCTGAAAGCACGAGAAGATTTCCAATCGTGAGATTGGACGTCGAGTCAAACGATCTGAGTCTTTAAATGAAGTCCCCGACACGTTCGGTACGAAGAAGCGGTCGAAGTCGTCATGTGCGTCTGGAAGAACTTCAAACACGTGGTATGAGGTGGGAAATGAGCATGCTACTGTTCCGTGATGTTCTGCGATATCGCCGTCAAGGCACTCTGCATGGTGAATCTCACTAGTAGGTGGCGCCTTGGACGTGTAACAACGCGAAAGTCGCCCGAAACCAAATAGGTGAGTCGACGGGGATCACGATAGGCGTATGTACCAGCCTGTCATGATGCGTGAATGATATTTGAGTGAAGACAGACCGTAGGTCCATTGACCGATGCGTGCGAGGTGCTCTCGTCGAGGGGGGTCTCGTGTACAGTTCGAATGGGTGCGAAAGACTCCTCATTCCTGCTAAAGCGACTCATATCGTCATTCTCGGAGGACGGGTCATTGGTGTCGGTGTCGTCTGATTCCCTAAATGAGCCACTGGAGTCCATGCGAGTGACAATCACGCCGGCAAGAGTGGTTGCATCGTCGGCGCAAGGGTGTTTTAAGCATGGAATGGAAGCGTGTCCGGAGAGGAGGGCGACACAGTGGGTGTTCCTGTTCTGATGGCGGTCAGTAGTTGCGCATGTTTAGTTTGAAGACTTGGAGGTACATCTTTGTTACAACGTGCGATGCGAAGAAGCCCGAGTCGTGCTGGGATCAGTCCGCGTACATAGAGTTCACAGACGGAGTCATTGGGTGCAAACATTGAGCACAAGGGGGATCTCTCGTAGCAATACGTATTGTGATGTGGCGGGATCAGTTGAGTCCTTGTTGAGTACATGATCATAACCAGTGGCTTACCTAGTGCGCGAAGTATGTCCAGATGTCGCCAAGTTGGTTGTCTGAGGTTAACGTGAGGTCGATCCAATACAGATGCGAGTAATCCGAGTATTCGCAGATCGGAAGCGGGCGTCCACATGTCGTCAGCTTCCGAGCTCCAAAACGAATGACCATGTCACGGTTACTGCAGTTGAAGCTGATGCCCACGTTTCTAACGCTCATGACGTGATGACAACCAACTTTTACATGTGGCCCATTTGGCTGGTTTGTGCGTTGTCTCAAGGGTATCGAGCATGACTTGGAGGGGAATGGAGCAACCGCCGATTTGCACGCGATTAGCCAGTATACACCACACACTTCTTTG